TAAAAAGGTAGCATATTAAACATTTTATTTTATTTTTGCTTTAATTTTTGAGTGGGCGGGGGTTCATCCAAGGTCGCTCTACCAACCCAACCCACTATACATTTACAAATATCTATGCCCGAACGCCTATTCGGACCAGGGACCCATAGTACCGCACTCCAGCCTAAACTGAATTGCGCCACACGGTCTGGTCAAAATATAACACACCATGAATGATATTGGTTTTCTATGCGATTTTTTAAATTTTATTACCTACTTTAAGTCACAGTAGGCTATCAAAAACAATGTTTTACTTCTTTCTCAAGTTTCTATAATTTTTAGCGCATTTCCACAAAAATAAAAAAAAGCGCTATTGTGGCCACTTTGTTCGTCCGTCCGTCCGTTCGTTCGTCCGGCCGTCCGTCCGGCTGTCCGTCCGCTACTTTTGCGACGCTACTAGTTCTTTATCTTAAGAGCTATTGTTCTACTTTTTTCGCTATTTGGTTCGTGATGGTGTCGAGGCTTGCACCAAGGAAGGAATTTTTTCTGAGTTTATTGCTAAAAAAGTTATTGTAAAAAAACCAACAAACCGTTTTTTACATGTTCCATAATTTTACACTTTTGCCGTTTATTAACCATCCTAAAGATCATTTATAATTTTGTATTGTTGTCTGTTGTCTGTCTGTTGGTCTATCCGTCTGTTCCTGTGCCTGTCTGTCCCTCTATCTGTCCGTGTGAACGATAATTTTGTTTAGAAATGTCCGATCGCTTTTACATCCCCGTTATGAACTGAATTGCATGAAATTCAATATGGGCATAGCCTTAGCCATATAATACGCAATGCCAAAAGTTGAGTCGAATGATTCCAAATTCACAGTGCCCTTTTCGCATCTCGACCATTTATAAACCGAATTGCAAACTTTTTTTCTTATAAAAGTATTTGAATGAAATTTGATACATAGGCACTTGGAATAAAGGAAAATCTAACGCCAGTTTAAAAATTTGTTTTTGCGCATGCACAGTGCCAACTTTTTTATTTATGGAAGAATTTAAATGAAATGTGATACATAGGCACTTGGAATAAAGGAAAATCTAACGCCAGTTTTAAAATTTGGTTTTGCGCATGCGCAGTGGCAACTCTTTTATTTATGGCAGAATTTAAACGAAATTTGATACATAGGCACTTGGAATAAAGGAAAATCTAACGCCAGTTTCAAAATTTGGTTTTGCGCATGCGCAGTGCTAACTTTTTTATTTATGGAAGAATTGAAATGAAATTTGATACATAGGCGCTTGGAATAAAGGAAAATCAAATGCCAGTTTCAAAATTTGTTTTTGCGCATGCTCAGTGCCAACTTTTTTTATTTATGGAAGAATTTAAATGAAATGTGATACATAGGCATTTGGAATAAAGGGAAATCTAACGCCAGTTTCAATATTTGGTGCGCAGTGTCAACTCTTTTATTTATGGAAGAATTTAAACGAAATTTGATACATAGGCACTTGGAATAAAGGAAAATCTAGCGCCAGTTTAAAAATTTTATTTTGCCCATGCGCAGTGCCAACTTTTTTTATCTATGGAAGCATTTAAGTGAAATTTGATACTTTGGCGCTTGGAACAAAAGAAAATCTAACATTAGTTTCAAAATTTAGGTTTGCGCATGCGCAGTTCCAACTTTCTTATTTAGAAAAGCATTGAAATGAAATTCTTCTTATAAACAGAAATTGAAGTAGCACGTCAAACATGTATTGCACATGTGCCACGCTATCTTTCATATTTGTGGCCGGATTTTTACGATTTTAACAGAAGTTGCATCTTACAAATGGGAAATGAATGCAAGTGGAAATGCGCTTTATGTAAATCGTTTACGATTACTTTTTAAATTGTTTTATTTACTTTCTTGTGCCAGACTCTTTGTCTGTTAAAATGTTTCCAGCTACAATGCCAACACAGTTTAGTTTCTAGATCAGCTTTTGTTTGATATCGCCTACTGTGGTTAGTTGTATATAAAGTGTATATAATTATCATCTATGATATTACTTTTCCGAACCCATTAAAGTAAAGTAGTGTTTTCATCACAGAAAAAAGTATGTTGTCGCTGTCCGGGTTGTTTTTAGCACGATAACTCAAAATTGAATGGGACAAATTGCGTACATTTTTTCAGTCCTAGCCGCGTGGAGAAGGCACCCATTAATTTTCAAACTGGTAGGCCGTATTCTTCTGCGCATGCGCAAAAGTTGTTACTTATGAACCGATCTTACTGAAATTTTAACATTAGCATCCTTCACTAAAGGCAAATCGATCGATTATCTCAAACAAAAGGTTTCTTTCGTGCATATGCAAAAGTAAATTTCTTATTTGTTGACAAATTTTTGTGAAATTTTAACGGTAAATCAAATTGAACATCCGTGTAGTTAATTGCCACATCGATTAGACACTTACGCTCAATAAAAGCCGAAGCGATGCATGAGAAGTAAATACAATAAAAGGAAAGTGCTACCGTGCGGAAAAGCTAAGTTTTGCAAAAACACATTTTTTGATATTGATATTGAAAATGATTAAAGAACAACTTCAAATTCTCATTTAAAAGCTTGAAACTGGAATCCAAACCGTTTGGTTTATTTGACGGTGGATTACAGCATTGCACATCAAAATAGCCGTAGGTACTTAAGAGGACTTTACACCGAAGGCGAGATGGCGGCCCCGGCGGCAAGTTTCGAATTGTGCATTTTATGAATTTTAGTTTTACGTACTCAAGCATACAAAATATCAGTACTTCCCGAGTTATTTCCAGGTAAAACTTCTCAATGACTGGCCTATTAGCAGAAATTCTAAAAATCAAAATAATTTCCAAACGGTATGTTTTGCGGGTAAACTTTTTACGGCACAAACCGGCACAAACGAAGCACTAACCAATCCACCTAGTCCCGATATTTGTGCCGTAAATGTTCTGCTAACTTCACGGACCCGAGTACTATATTTAGAACAGCGAATTTAACATAAAGAAAGACCAAATTACTAAAAACGGTTTCCTAATAAAACAATTCACAATAAATGTTCGAATAAGTCACCATTACGTGCAAGACAGTCACGAAGTCGATCATAAACCCATTTCGAACTGCTGCTAATTGATAACTGGATATCTTTTTGTTTAAGAAAATTCCATGGCATCGCAAACTATTGAAAAAGATGGGGGTTTTATTTTTCCAATTTTCCGTCTTTATATGAAAAAAATTGAAAACTAATACGGTTGATTGGCGTAAAAAATTTTTTCTACAAAAAACTGATACCTTTTTGGTCTAAAATAATTTGGGGAGCCAATAATCGCCTGTTATGAATTTTACATTGAAATCCCTATGATGCGTTGCGCAAGTCACCACCCTGTATAGAGATTGGAAAAAAAATAATTAATCTTTTATTATGTTAAGAGAGAGGGGTGTAGAAAACTGAATTTTTGTCCAAGGTGATTATATAAAATATAAAACAAGAGGTTTTGATAATTACGAGTTTCCTAATCTAATGACCGGCCACCTGCGAGCGTGCGGGTCAGGCAGCCGACTACGGCCTACGGGACGCGGGAAAAAGAACTCTTGACCTAACTTGGAAGGAACCATCCTTAAAGACATTTCAACTGTTAAAATTGTTCCTACACCCGTTTGTCCTACTTAAAATTCAGAAAAATCAAATATAAATAAAATGCACTAGCGGGCTCCCGTTACATAACATGGTATGTTTCATTCTATTTCTCTATCTTGTTCTGTATACTGTTATTAATGTCCTCAACTTAGCTATTAAAGACATTTATCGATACTATTCAACGCGTGCAACTCCATGATGTACTGCGGTTTTGATTATGAGAAATCGAAGGAGGCGTAACGGTAACCACCAGCTGGTCTCGGGAAGTAATAAATGTAAAGTTTTCCGATAGTTTTTGTATTGAGTGAAAGGGCAAACTCACATTTGTTCAAAGCTCAACTGTCTGAATTCCTGAAATGCGTAGAATGCCATTCTTATTTGACCACCCAGAATATTATCAAAGCAAATAGCTGCCAAGGTGTTCAGCACTATGCTAAAAATCAATCTTCTGTTGGATTACAATAAGTCAACATAACATGTTTTGTCATAACATGTTTTTCAACCTTGTCATCAGTACCTTGATAAGTACCGTCAACGCAACCCCTATGGCACTATTTCATAAATAAATGGGAAAATATTTGGACGACTGACTGGTCAACGATGCGCGAATGTGCGCATATGAGCATAAATAAAAATGTATTTATCCAGATGCAGAGGGCAAGGGTTTGAAGATACCGTGTTCAGGCAGTTAAGTTGCGTACGCGTCCTGGGCGTGGAGACCCCCGGTCAATTAGTATCTATTTAAATGGCAATGATTGCGATAAGTAGTTGCAATGTTAGTTTACGTAATAATAGACAATCAGCTGTACTGAATGCTGCCATGCCACCCCCGTACGTGTAGATTGCAGAGGAATGTTTTTAATGAAAGATCGATTTGTAACATCTTAATAATTGAGATCTGACCAACAATTAACCCATTCCCCCATCTCTTACAAAAGATCACGCAAAAAGTTAATGTACTTTGATACTACCGACTATCAAGGTAAACATTCAATTGTTTACATTCAATTCATAACGAAAAACATGACCCGATCGAATTACTTAATCGCTCTATTATTTACCTTATAGACGGGTTTTAATTAAATACCTCCACTATCGACAGTAATGTTATATAAATAGTGTGATTACCTTTTTATTCGGTGATTCAATTTAGAGCGCTAATCATATATATTCACACAACTAGAACTTTTTTCATTGCGAAACGAATGATTGTACGAATACCTAATAATAGCCCAGCCTATATTATTATACCTTTATAGTTAGAATGACATTCTAAATCTAAATTATTCTTTTATTTCGTAATAAGTTTGTAAACATGTTGTAAAGAAAATCGTCTCATCTTTTAATTGATGTACTAATTATTTTCTAGAAGGAAGTCACTTACCGTGCATAGGTCCAATTACAACCATGACAACGAGCATGAGCATCATGATCTTCATTCTTCTATTATTCTCTCCTTTTTTAAATGCAACGGTGAAAGTGTTTGCAATATGTTTATAATCGAAAAAGTCGGTCACAAACGAGCACATTGTTTTAGATGCAGTTTTTTCACTCACTCTTTTTGCTTCGTGTATTTTAAAAAATCCATACAAAAATGCGATCAAGTATAAAACGGCGGAAATAGAGAACACGCCGTAAAATCCTATTTTTCTGTACAATATTCCACTTAAAGCCATCCCTATTGGAATTCCGATCGAACAAAATATATTGACAAATCCAATTCGTAACGTTCTCATCTCAACCGTTGTAACATCGGCGATATAGCTGAAGACGCCCATAAACATTGTGAACCATCCCCCGGTAAGTGCCGGAAACAGGGACTCTACAATCCCGCATACCTCCATGGGCAGTTCGTAAAAAAAATAAGTGCACACCATTAAACCAACCACTGTGCACAATTCTCCTATAATTGGAAATAACATGCAAGGCTTACGCATACCATGCCGATCGCTCCAAGCTCCAATAAACAATATTAGAAACGCAGGTAGGGCACTTTGCACTATAGTTTTCCAAATAGTCATCGACGCAACGAGCTGTTGAACCTCTGCCTCCTCTTTGGTGTAATTAACTGTGTTTCTTGCGGTAAGAGCGTCGCACACCTCGTTGGAATACCCCAAATTTACCCTACATGCCTTTTCCAAGTTGAGATTCTGTGTTGCAAGCGTCGCCAATACGCAGGGCATAATATAACACGCCACCATCGGCTCTACCGTGATATGTGACGAAATGTATGCGCATTTCTCTTTGATATTTAATTTGCTCCAGAAGGTTTTGTCTTCGATGTCTGTAACGCCTTTATCCGCCTCTTTAGACTTCTCTGTCATTTTGATCTTACCACAATCTGCAAAGAAGTAGATGTGTAAATAAATTCAATAGTAAGAGATAGGTATACCTAAATGAGTGGGAAATGCGACTTTTACTTAATCGTGCCCTTGCACTGTCAAGATGTTTCATGGACATCCATGTTACCATCACAATGGCATCGATAATAAGTGGTATAAATAGAAGATTATGTTATAATGTAATTGTGAATAAATTATTCACGGTCGTAGGGGAATTTAGTTGGATGTTTATAGCACCGATTTGACCAAGATTGCATTAATAATTCACATACCTAAGTAACTTTTAGGTAAGTAGATAATAAATGCCAAATTGTTTAGTACATATATTATAAGTACAATGTATAACGCATTCGCAATAAAATATTTAAAACAAAGAAAAAACAATACTTTGAAATCTAACAACGTTCATTTCTAGAGTTTTACCATCACGACAAAATGTACAAGGAACGTCAAAAAAACATAACGTCATTACCTTAGAAGTTTTCGAGAACCGATATAAACGGAGTTAATAAAGTTAATAACAATTTTCCTTAATTGTTTTTAAACAGTTTACAAATACAAATAAGTAGTTATTTACGTTATAAGTCCGGTAGGTTACTTGTAACAGTAAGAGTTAGACATTATGGACGAGGCGACGTCAGGAGCCGAGTCAAGAATGTCTTAAACGAGTACTGTTACAAGTACTACCGGACGTATATCGTAACGTATTTTATTTCATACTGTAAATCTGTGTATCATTTCAAAAGATTACAAAATTTCATTATATTGTAAAAATTGCATTACCTTGTTTCTGTGGCAACGGCCGTTGCTATAGTTTGTAGTTTGTTTACATTGAATTTTTTTCACTTATAAATGCACAAGAGGTTTGTATTCTACCGAGTAAATTTGGGTTGTTTAGGTAATGAAAATCTGTTGCCTAGCAATTAGACTAGAAAAACTGTCAACTAATAAAAATGCGACCGCCATTTTTGGGCAAAATTTGCTGTCAAATAAAAAAATTGACAACTAAAATCTGAACAGCTGTTATTTTTTTTTAGCTCGAAATCCACTGAACGAGAATGATCAAAATTCCATTTTGCCCTATCCGAGTATGCTAAAATCATAATACTTAAGGCGCTGCGGGTACTTCTTGCGGTACCAATTCTAAAAGGTTGTTTTTCGAAAAAATAAGTTATACACCAAATGAAAACGTTGATAATAGCTCTTAAAAAATATTTAAAAAAATCGCGAACATTCCGTAAAAATACAATTCTTAGTCGGATTTTGACGAACTTTCTACGGATATAACTAGGTTACGGTTGGATGAATGAAGCTGATTTTTTTTATAGGCTAATGATAGGTACAGCCAATGACTTAACGGTCTTTCTTTTTAAAATTTTTTTCTAATTATAAGATTATCTTATTATCTTATCATCATAAGATATCTTATAATTAGAGAAAAAAATTAAAAAAGAAACACTGTCATAGTCATTGGCTGTACCTACCATTAGGCTGTAAAAAAAGCAGCTTCATTTATCCAACCGTAACCTAGTTATGTGTATCCGTAGAAAGTTCGTGAAAAACCGACTAAGAGTTGTTTTTTACGGAGTTCCAAAATGTTCGCGATTTCTTTAAATATTTTTTAAGAGCTATATTATCAACGTTTTCATGTTGTGTATATCTAACTTATTTTTTTTAAAAACCCGCAAGAAGTACCACAGCGCTTTAAGTAATATGACCTGAGGCGGCAGACGGTCGATTTTAGCATACTCGGATAGGGCAAAATGGAACTCCATTGGTTAAAATTTTGATCACTCTCGTTCAGTGGATTTCAAGCTAGCTCCCCTGCTATGCGAACTACATTCAATCTTCACGCTAGAGTGGAAATTGATAAATGCTCCAAACCAAACTAAGTGCCGTTCTGAAACGCAAATCAGATGGACATATTAAGAAGAAGTCTTAGTACAGAGGAAACAAATGCATTCTTGAATACCTAATGCTATACCTCACGAAGTATACTTTGCAACATTCTGAAAGTTTTACTACAGTCCTTAATTTTATCTACTTATCTCATATTTAAGTTGCATTGATAATGGGTTTAATGGTTGCATGGTGGGACTGTGGGTTAATAACTGGCATGCCGCATGTCGCAGCGTTATAATATGCTTATATAGTAATACATTATTACTTACTATATGGTTTTACTGCGCAGAGCAACTCGAAGAAAAGTTGCAAAAAATACTAATAGGTAGGTACCGTTGTGTGTATAACCACATTTCACACCCGTTAATCTTATCGAAATGATTTGTTATGGCTGTAACATCTGCAGTGGATGTCACACGTGACACGTGTAGCTCAGATTGTAGAGATAAATGTATCTTGTGCAAGACATACGAAATAAGATAAGCAAGTGTAAATAGTTTAAAAAGTAAAACACCAATAAACTATTATAATAATCTATTAAAATATCGAACGCGTTTCAACAGCAAAGCGGTCATTATCAGCGAACTGGAAGCAGTTGATACAGCTTTGCTATTGAAAAGCTTTCGATATTTTAATATTCTATTCTATTCTATTCTATTCGCAGGGGAGCCCGACCGGGCAGCACTTAGGCACACCAGAGGCCCATTGTGCCTACCCCCTTTCTTCGCAACTGAGTTCAGAGCCCGTTCCTCTCAATGAAGGATAGGACCCTATTTAGCCTAAGTTGCTTCACCCTCCTCGGTTCCAGGTATCTGTCTCCAAGGAGTTGATATCTGTCCCTGATCAAAGCGTCACAGTGACAGATCACATGCTCGGTAGTTTCATCTGCCTCGCCACAGAACCTGCACGTTGACACCTCCGCGAGCCCAATGTTATGCAGGTGATAGTTGACCATCCAGTGTCCCGTAAGCACACCGGTGATCTTCCTAAGCTGGCTTCTATTCAGTTTTAGAAGCTTAGAAGACCCCGATTTGCCAACGGGCCCTGTTAGAAAGGCCTTGGACTGTCGGAGTCCGGTTACTTGTTGCCACTGAGCCTGGAATTGACTGGTCAACCAATCTTTAATCCTGGCCCTAACAACGGAGGGAGCAATCCCTAGGGTAGGCTCGGGCCCGACGAAGACCCCACCACTGCCTTCGCGAGCCAACTCGTCCGCCCTTTCGTTGCCCCCTATTCCGCAGTGCGCTGGCACCCAAATCAAGCTTACCCTATTAGACTCACCTAATCTATCTAGGGTTCGCCTGCAATCAAGCGCCGTAGCTGATCGGAACCTGTCTACCGACAGGGCCCTCAACGCCGCCTGACTATCACTGTATATGTATATATGCTTGTTACGGTAACCTCTACGGAGGTTTTCCTGTGCACAGGTCATGATGGCTAACATCTCTGCCTGAAACACGGTGCTATGCTGACCAAGGGAGACGCTGACGCTGGCTCTCGGTCGATCACCATATATACCCATGCCCGTTCCCCTTTCTGTTTGGGACCCGTCTGTAAACCACACGAGCCCCTCAGGTTTGAGGAACGGGCAATCCGAGTTCAGCCACTGCTCCCTATCCGGGAGAATGACTTTATAACGCTTTGGTCTTAGCAAGATAGTCCGGATCACGTTCCTCCTTGCAAGGAGGGGATCGGTTCTGAGGGTTTCCTCCCAGATCCGCCCGTGCCCAAGGCTGCCTCGATCCTTCCATTCATCCCAATCGTTTAGCCGTATGGAAGCTTTCCGAGCCTCTGCCTCCACAGCTAAGTGTAAAGGCTCTAGTCCCAGAAGTGCCAAGGTTGGCGTGGTTTTTAGGGCTCCAGTGACTCCCAGACAGGCGAGTCGCTGGACCTTTCCTAGCTGCTTTCTATAGGATACCCTGCGCATGGCAGGCCACCATACGAGTGCACCATACAGTGTCATTGGCCTTATCACTGCAGTGTAAAGCCAGTATACTAGTCGAGGGTTCAAGCCCCATGTACATCCAAAAGCCCTTCTGCATGCCCATAGACATGCAGTGGATATTTTAATATTACTGTGGTTTATTTGTATTTTTGTTTTACTTTTTATTTTTTTACATTCAACGGCCAGAGCAGTAGGTACTTTGGTAAACAGTACAAACGACCAACACAATGGTAGAGCGTTGAGTTATAAACCCGGAGGTCGGGTGTTCGAACCTGGGTTGAGGTGAATTGTGGCAGAGATGGAAATTACCTTAGACCAGTTTCGAGCATTTTGCCGGCTACTCTGAATTAAGTTTTCCTGCAGTTTTCCTAATTCGTAAGGGAAATACCGGAGTAGTACAGACTAACTTAAGACCTTCTGCCAGAGGCACCTCTAAAAAGCATTATGCGGGTCACTCTGTAATTGGGCGCAAGCCTGTTGAGGGCCCAGAACAAGAGAGGAATAATAAATAAATAAATAAACACACATGACAATCCGTTTTTGTAAGATTCGCTTTAAAATTTAGATCCCATTAATAAACACATCTCATTCAGATTTGTGGTGCCCTTTCTTGTACTCCTTTCTCAAGATGTTCGCAATTGAAGTTCGTTCGTTCGTTCAACCCTTCCATTTCTTCTTTTATAAAAAAGATACAACAGCAGTCATGACAGCAGTTTTTATCAGGCCCATAGCTAGGATAAACTGGGTGGTGGCGCACATTTTGGAGGGATTGAGAAAAAACACAAAAGCTGATATTATCATACAGGGATTTTTTTCTTAAATGGGTTATGTATACTTATAAAAACGATCAAATACATGTAATCTGGTTATCCAGGTATGGAATAGAGGGCTGTAAGCAACCAAAATTACATGCGCCAAACTGGAGCTGTTTTCGCCGTTCTTAAACCATTACCACCCTGATACCATGTTGATATCACAACCTTATCGTCTTAGCTATACATCTTCGTGTTAAAAAGACACAAATTGATGTTGATGTTAATAATACAAATCAAGACTGATAGCTAACCCTAAGTTGACATTAAAAATATACATAGCCCATATGTATACATTTAAAAACAAGTATAAATTGTGCACAACTCTTGTGCAGATGAAGTGTATTTTTTAAACCGAAATAGCTTTGTTTTATCACCAATGGATATATTTCTTGCTGACGTCTCAATCGCCCTTTGTGAGTACCCTCTTCCGACAATCCGTTCTTGAGGTAT